GTAAATAAATGATTAGTTGAAGATAGCATGCAAAATCGTTTCAGAAACCTTCGGGTCAAAATATTTCCTGATTCAGACATGTCAGCTCCCTTTCACACAAATGATGTTCATTTGCCATTTTCTCATTGTCACTTCATTTCATTTCATAATTTCGGTTTGAGTTTTATTTCTTACTACATCACCTTTGAAAGTAAGGTGCAATTGAGAAATGTTGAATAATAGCGCGTCTTTGCTTTTATCCATAATTTATAGTTCATCAAGATTCGCATTCATCATAACATCCTCCTAATTATTGCTCTTCATTTCATCACAGAAGCTGAGTCGGTTCAAGTTGCACCAATAACCTTCGCATAATCAGAAAATGTTTTAAAATGTATTTCGTTGCAATTTCCACTTGAAAGGTTTTTAAAGCTTTCAATAAATTATTTGTTTGATTATGTTCGTTATAAAAATATCTACAGCAATGTTATTTGCAGTAACAGATATGTCAACAAACTCGATAACTGAAGAAGTTAGAAAAATCATCCTCAGTAAGATATTAATTCAATTATTTTCAGATGATCCTTCTATTATGCATTCATTAAGGGACTGAATTGACATTATAAACTACGACAGATGTTGTAAATAGCCAAATTATTGTCGCTTGTTTGCTACAAATCCGTATTCTCCGTTCATCCTCGTTTCTTTCCCCGAAAAAGTTTCATTTCACTGCATTTTATTAGAATATAATATAAATAATCGATAAATGATTTCTGCATGAGAAAAGCTTTGCAGATGGCGATATTGGGAGAAATGGCTGACGAAATGAGAGCGGGGAATAAAATTTGAGAAGACATTATGAGGAGTTCATCAGAGCACAGTTGACTGAAGTAGACGAACTTTGACTCAAGATTAGTTCAGATGAGAGTTGTAATGTCCGGTCCAGTTCCATCCGTTTACATTTGTATCGTCGATTTTGAAACCAAATTTTGACTTGCGTGGGAGTAAGATCGAGCGTCACTGCTAATCGCTCTCGTTCTGCTGCACTCACATATCGCTGCAACTTGAAACGCTCTTCCAGTTCGTTCACCTGTAATGTACTTATCTGTCTCCGTCATTTGTCGGTAGGGGAAAGAGTTTTAATCTGTTCTGTTCCTTATAGCGTACCAGTTGCTAAGTAAATCAAAAATCACTTTTTGTCGATAGCACACCATTGAGTATGCATATATGTGTTCGTACAGGTATATAACCTTCAACTTAGTAGTCAAACTTAATCAGTCCTCAAGTTCATTAATTAGGCATACAGTTTCTGTGAGTACCTATTAATTAGTAGAATATAAAAGAAGAAGGAAGTTGTGGCTAACGGCAAAATCTTTGTCAGACATCTTGAAGAGTTTGGAACGACAAATTCCTTGCATCAATTCAGCCGAATTGGGGCAATGCACAAAACGTGGCGTTAACAAAAAACAAGTGATATCTGTAAAATACATCAAATTTATCGAAGCCACCTGAAACTGAGTAAATAAAACGCGAGGCTTTCGTCGTGTTTGTTGCGATCGAAGCTGCACAGAAGTTTTGGAATCATTATTGCTGCCGAAACGGTTGGCTGTCAAATCGAGTCGCGAGTCACTGCGCATATCTGGAGTTCAGGTTCAGCAAATTGAAATGTACTGACCGGATTAATTGTTCGAACAGCAATTAATGCTTGCTACAATTAGACTATTATCATTCATAACTGCTCCATTATCAATAACTCTGGAGTTCGAGTCAGAAAATTATACCTTAGTACCTATTATTCATTGAGTTGCTTTGAATTCTTCACTTGAAACTCTAGCATAAATTTCAATCATTTCTAACCCGTTTATTTCTAGGAACTTCAACTGGAGATTAAGTGAATTAATCGACGATTCGTAAAGTTATAGGCGAGTGATGAATACTTACTTAAGCGTGTATAAAGTGCAAATTGTGGTACAGCAGTAGTGGATGGTAACTGCTCAGCAAAACCCCAATAGCGCATATCATCCATCGAAGTTAATTGTTCCAGCGAAAAGTTCCGTATTGGAAACACGGAAGAAGGCACATTTCTAGTTGTTGGTAACGATGATAACGTTGTACTGTTCGCTACGGATAAACTCCAGGGGAATTCAAACGTTGGCATTCGGGAATTAGGTATCAATATGGAATTATTGCCTTGATTTATTGCATACAACTCGGGTTTCCTGGATGTACGAAATTCCGGCTGAGGAGCAGACAAGTAATCAGGTTGTTTAACCGGATTTTGGATTAAGTTTGTTAGTTGTTGTTCACGTTGTTGCTGATGATATACAGCCATTAATGGAGAGTTCGATGATTGAAATTACATTGATGCAAGTGATGAGAGGCGCGTCTTATGTCTTCAAAAGATTCTCACGGGGCTAATTTTTACCTTGAAGAGATTTTCTAGTCCTCTTCTCCATGAGTGACATGACGGAATAGTATGTCAGAGCGAGACGAAAACAGGTTCTAATGGGTTCCGAGGTAATACGAATAGGTGTTACGGTACTGAAGTGTATTTACATAGTTAGCCAATCAGCAATGCTCACTTCGAGGAGTTCTAAGCAAGGAAATTGGAAAATGAGAAGCGAAGAAGGCGATAAAGGGGAAACGGATTGCATTACACACTTAAATGCGCCTTTCCTTGAGTGATTAGGACCTGCTGCATCACCAATTTTGAACCTTTGTATCAATTTTCATTATCCTTCAAGCAATCTATCAAAGATTCTGTCTCCCTTCTCATTGCATATCCCCTTGAATTTACTGATATGAACAGAATTGATCCACCGCATCATATAAATCAATTTCGTTAAACTGCTTACGATAATACCGAGTCACCTATAACAGTCGTTACTATTTATATTTTGTAGATTTTTCAAGAAATTTTAATTCATACCCTTTAATCCCTATCACTTCATTTAAAAAATAAGTCTCGAACAAAGTTTCGTAAATGATTTCCCCATCTCGACTAATTATTTAAATTCAACTATCTATCCTCAAATTTACATCCTTCATATAATTAATTCCCATTCCTACACACTTGAATATAAAGTGACCTTCCATATACTGTTAAAATACTGATGATAAACAACGTATATGTTAGAATGGCGCTCTGGTGTACCTTATTTAGCGGAATTGTCAACTAATGAATTACTATAATTGTATTCTAATAACAGAAAGCAACAAATGAGGCTATGCCATAACTCTTTTAATCAATTAAGCAATGAAATTTGTTCTATAAACTGCAAGAAGGCATTTTAGAAAGTTGACAAGTCCACCTGACGTAAGTATACAGTTGTCAATTGGGCAATATAAGTAGACAGTTCCCTTAGGGGGAGGTAATATGAACTCAGTTGTAGGGGAAAAAATCAAGAATAACAAAGTGAAAACAAAAAGGTTAAATAAAGCGTTACTGTCACAAGTTCAGTATTGCTCAATGAAATCACCTTCAATCTTAGAACATATATTACTAACGAACGTCAATTTCGAGATGTTTCCATATTGCGCACTGGTTTCAGTTTGAAAAGCAGTTGACTTGAATCGACTAGCTAATGCTTACTGCGGGAATTTAAATCTATAACTTCGACGATTTGTCACAACGACAAGCCTATTGAACAGTATCTAACACCTGTTCATCCTTAATAATATTAAATATGATCGCAATTCAGCAGTCTTTATAAGCATTACACATTAGGTTCCGCGGATGGTGTCCACTGCATATCTTATCATATGCGAAACACGTTATGTGTCCCGTTCTTTAATTTCTCCTATTCTGCATTCGTCGAACCGCGCAATTTTTTAATCATAAATTCTTCACAAACAGTTGCACTCTCCATTAAAGTTTTTCTAAAAATCACGGGTATAACTATTAACACAAACGGATCTTTTCTCGTTAGAAAACGAAAGCTGCAATTTTGCAGTTGAAATAAATTGAAGCAAATTTCAGGAAATGCTAACAAACCGCAAAAATTAAATGCTCAACCATATTTCTTTCTCTAAAGCACACAAAACGCACTGATGGATGTACTTCGGCGACTATATTAGAGTAACAGACCACAACTACTTGAAAAATCGAGACATGTCATTCATGAGTTTGAAAAAATCTCGGAAAATTTTCCTAATTCATTATCAAAAAATTCCAATCAAACTATAATATCTGCATGGCATGAATGTGGAATGAATAACTTCATGACTGATATTATAGTCCTTTCAACCGAAGTATGCAGTAGAAGAATATGTACCTGCGTAGTCGTTTTACAATTTCGGTACTGAAAATCTTTCATTCATTTCGCAGAAATTCTTTACGTACAACAGCAAAGAAGAGGTGATGCAGCCTAGGAACTATGCTTTCTTTTACAGATGAAGCTAACTGCAATAAAAATTGTTTATTATTCTCAATGGGAAAAGAAATATTCAATTTTATCATATTTCCCAAAGATTTCTCGTTGATAAGAAATGGAAAATATTCAATGAATTATTATCAACTGTTAGGAATCATGGAGACTACTCCATCCAAGCAAAGTTTTGAATTACAGTAATTTCCATTTACTGCACAAGGCATATTTCTAAAGCATTACAATGACAATGGATAAGTTTTAGAAAAATTCGCTGTACTGTGGTAAAAGATAACGAACAAGAACTAATAAAACGGCACAACAATACAACATTAACGGCACAACAGTACAAAAGTTCGATGGTATTCTAAAGTTACTTAAATTTGCTAACAGAATATCTTATAATCAGAGTTTATTGAGTTTATTTTCAATAAACTTTGACCATAATTAAACAAAGAACCTTAACATGATGCATTATAACCATTAACATTACAGGTTTATCGCTTTTTATACAAGCAAGCCTTCAGTTTCAATCCGGTAGGTCGTTTCTGTACCACTTTACCAGTTTTAATAAATTCCAAAATTACAAAATAACCACCATCATTCATCATCTAGAAATTTTTTAATAAATAACACATTACTATTAAACTTCTCTTTATAATTCAGGGCAATATAATATCAACGAACCTTTCCAGTAATCGCAAATCCCATTTTTGTTACTGCGTGCACAAACTGTTTCACATTTATAAATCGACTCGCAACTTCGGCTATTTTCAAAAAACCACTGTAAATAGACATAAGTCACATTTTCCTTAAAATTATGTTGATTAATTTGAAGAAATAATGAGCACAATGCTTCCATATTACTATTTAATAATATATGAAGTGGATAACAAACCCTTTCTTCAAAATCCGATTCGCTTCCCTCAAATATTCGTTTAGATTGGTTCCCATCAATGAAAGACAAAAAACAACAATATCCACTGATTTACTGCACAACGGGACCTGCACAAAAATTATTTATCAATAAAAACAAACTAGAAAAAAGGTTAAATTTAAGTGTATAGTCAAGTACGTCTAAAACATGTTCATATAACTGAAAGAACCTTTAATAATATCGCTACTGATATTTACACAGAATACATTTTCGAGGCACAGTCTCAGCTAAGGTCATATTTTTTTCATTATCAGCCTTCCCAAGCTTACTAAAGTCCCATTTAAATTGAAGCAAAGATTTCGGCTTTTAACATTCGTATTTGTTGAGGATTGTGTGCTTATTGTTTTCTTTTTCTAACAGCTTCATAAGAAATTAGTGAAACGTAACTCTGTTATGTGTAAGAAATTTACAGTGAATTTACAGATGTCCAACAGTATGGGAATAATGGACGATTAGAGGAAATCTTAAACGTCTCTAATCTATTATGCTACAAATAACGTGCAAAACTAATAATTTGATGCATTAAATATACCATGGACATATCACACGCCGTAACGCGATCATTTGCAGCAATCAAGTCGAACGAATGTACAGTAGCTATATGTGACAGTGCATCAGCAATTGTTGCATTTCCACAGCCCAAATCAGCAATCACTAAACCATCATGTTTCAGTGATCTTATCCATTGAATAATAATACGAACTGGATTATATGGCCATTTCTTTGCCTATAAATGATCATCTTATTGACCTAAGACAATATTTTCATTTCTTAATCAACTATTTCCATTTTCTAACAACGTATAATAATTTAAAATTTTATTTTTGCTAATACCATCGACTTCCACATCACTGCAGGAATAACTCCACAGCACATTTGTCCTCGATTCAAGATATTAATTACGCTAATTAATTTGTAAATTATACCATAAGAGGATTAAAGCAGTTAACGCCCTTTTGATAGAAAGGAACACACAACAAATTTTCCCCGCAATATGTTTTAGACAATCTTACATAGGAATTCATGAACTACATTCATATAATTCACATCAGCAAACCTGTTTCTGATATCCTTTGTGGTACAACTCAAAAGCTTGTGGGTCCTTCCGAAATAGTTCCATAGCTTCCGCACCACTCATAGTATATAATTGCTCGTTGATATACCGAAATAATGAAGAATCTATTTTTTCTCTACCATTCATTTCTTGCCTACTCATTGCGTCATTTTCATTTGGGCTGCTAGGGTAATTAGTCTTCCTAATTCTACTTTTTCTCTTTTTTTTCATTATTAACGCATCACTTGAAGGGATGGCGTGTTTATTACCTGAAACAATAAATCACAATGTACAGGAAGATAAGTAATTCGCATGCTTTGTATTAAATGATTCCGTGATAATACCAAAAGATCTCTCTGAACAAAGTATACATACGTACACATAACTACCATTTCTTCCCTCCAGTTTTCTTTTCGCTTCCTTAGCAGCTTTCTTGCGAACCTTATTTCGCCATGGACGATGTTGTTTTCTCGGCTAAAACAACGCATTGTTGGTAACATTCAGAAATGCAAAAGTCGAGGCTATTTATATCTCATTAAACTGCCTTCCATAAGCAAGACTGCAGCACATACACCTTTTAGGCAACTTATGCTGAATGCAACTTTAATTCATCCATCGTCCACATAGTTAATTAGTTTTCGAACACAATTTCTACCTTAATAAATATAATGCTCCACACACTGCAATTATAATAAAGAATAACAAAGCTAACAAGTCTCGTCATTGAAATTCCCACTTTTTCATTGTAATCGATTTCTTTCTGCACTGACGAAACCACATTATCCTTGCTCTCCAATTTCGCTTTTTGTCTCATCAAAATCTCAAGAAAAAAAAATCCATACAGCAACAACTGGATGAACTTTGGAGGGGGCAAATTTCGCAACTAGATCACCAGAAAACCTATTAACATCGATACTCCACAATGATCCCGTAAGTTAATACTAAACTTATAATTAAAACTAAAATAAAAATTAAGTATTTCAATATGCTATTCGAACATATGAATGTAGAGAAAATACAGTATACTGACAAACTTTATTTCCAAACAATTAACTGTTTTACCAAAAGTTCAATAAACAGAAACCTAAGACCACTAAATATTGTAGCATAATAACAAAACAAACAATGTAACAAGATAATAAAATCATTTCAAATCCAGTCCAATAGGGCTTTTTGTTAATAGCTGTACATCACCACTACAATAACAAATTCACGGAATCACCAAAATATGAATAATTTGACACGAAATTTACCGTCTATCTGTTTTCCCAAGTCCACGCTTGCCAGAAAACAAATGTTTCGGACGTTTGACAAAAATATGCCTGTCAGCTTCACCCTTTCTTGCTTCGTGTTTCAGATTTCTCTGCTTCTTTCGCCCAACTTTCTTCGTCATTTCTCGTACCTAAATTAAAACCTAATTCTTAATTTAAGCAATATTCTTCATCAACTAATCTATTGACCCCATACATATGCATCAGCGAAAAAGCCTTTTTCTTACAGAAATGAGGCCAAATATCTAACTATCTTCCGCAATAATGTGCTGATCTTTAGCTTGCCACTATTAAATGCATACTGATCCAAAAATTAAGAAAAATTGCTAACCTTGTCATTCTTTATACCCTGAACATCACGACTTGGTGGTCGGTTAGCAACCAAGCTCGGACTTTTTCCCACCCGTATTTTTTTGACAGTAGGTTCCTTCAGCTGTTCCTTAGCTAAGTTCTTCAACTGTGATGGATTAATATCAACACCAAGATCATGGAACTGTTCTTCCAAACATGCCATAGTTCGATCGCGTTTTCTTGCAACGAAACGACTTAAACGTGGTTTCGTGATACTTTTCTTAGCTTGTGAGGCCTACAATTCTAAGATTTAAATGAGTTCAAGATATCTATTTAAGGCATGAAGAACGACCACGAAATGGTTGTTGAACTGATAAAAAAGACACGACAAGAAGCTTTTCTGTTAATTCATTTTACCATTTTCAGCTGACTTTCTTTTTCCACAATTTTTTCGGCATTTTCAAACAATTTTCTTGTCTCATCATCGTCCAACACCAAATCCTCGTCATAATACCTAGAACATAATGTTTTACAGCTACACCAAAAATCTCCTAACATCAGTAAAAGCTGTGTAAGTTTAAAAACAAGTATGAATTCCCAATAAACTGAAAAAATCTCTTACCCAGCTTGAATTTTCGCTTCTTCCTCTTTCTTGATTGATTTTAACATATCTTTGACATTTGATGTAACAAAATCAGAGATATTATGTCCTTCCCATATTTCGGGCACATTATCGTATTTTTCTTCGTCGTTCTTTAGCAAATAATGCTCTGCAAGAAGCAGAAATATAGATTTGTTATATTCAAAACAACATCTTGTCATTTGTTCTGAGTTCATTTCATCGTCTTGTAAGTTAAATAAATAAATTCCATCTGCAAATTATGACGAAAATGAAAATGGGTGAGAAAAAATGATGCATTAATTGATGACAATTTACTCTTCAAATCGAGTATATATTCGTCTTCCATTTCTAGCTCAATCTGGCGCTCTAGTTTCCGTATTCCTACAAATTTCCCGTTATCGAGATTATTACAGCCTAAAAACTTCTTCTTCATAACTGCTTCCGGTATATGCGGTGCGCGCACCTGAAATCCAGTACTGGTAGATGACAAGAGCAAACTAAAAACCCTTCAAATTCTACAAAAAATAAACATACTTTGTCATCCCTCGGAACAGGATAGGCAACAAAAACACGACTTAGCACGCCATCTTCAACTGCTAACTTCCTCGATTGCAGTTTGCTTTCAACACGTTGTGTCAAAAGACAATCACATGCCTAAACGTAAATATCTTCTTTTTTTAAAATAAAAGCACAATGTCTTCTTTTCCTTACTTCCTCAACAATTACAACATGTAATTCAAGTTGTATTTCTGAAGGACAGAACTGCAAATAACTGGTTGAACATAAGCAAAAAATGATGCGTACAGAATCTAACACACTAAAAGCAAGCCTACTTTCAACATTTATATCGCTGAGCATTGCCAGTCTTACATTAGTTTATCCTATGCTCATTTTTACCCCCTCCTCCCTTAATTATTTTACAATTATCATATTTTGATAGAGATGTCAAAGTGATTACTTATACTGGGATTAATTCATCCAACTTGCATTAATGTTTCGTTCATTTGCTAAAAAAACTGCTTCCGATATTACTTTAACATCGCACAATCGCTATCCATTCTACATGCTATAAAATACTCAAATATAGTTAGTGATATAACAAAATCGCAAAAAAAAATTACCGTATTTCTTAAATCCATGATTCCCTCTTGTGTTACAGTGCTAAGTTCAAATAATGATAAAGAATCGTCTTCTAATCTTTTTAGCTGCTTTATTTTCTCCAGCTTTAGCTCATCTCGCCTTACAATATCCACTTTATTTAATCCAATTAATACTGGTTTGTTTATAAATAATGGACGGATACTTTCAAATAATGCTACCTGAAAAGATCAAACTGAATTAATATTCCTGACAAGTATTATATAAATATGGTATTGAATCAGATTCCTTACCTGCTCTTCAATCGCATGATCACATGTTTCACTTATATCCATAATGAACAAAACTGCAGCACGCAAGTGTGCAAGTGCGGTAACTGCTTGCATCTCAATTGTATTGCGCTCTTCCAAAGGTTGATCCAAAATACCAGGTGTATCAATAACCTGAAATTATTCAATTATGATTGCCTAAACATATTTCAGATTTACAACTGTGACATATTTTCTTTTAAAATACTACAATTTTTCCTTCATGCTACAAACTTCCATTAAACTTTCATCTTTGAAATTTGCAATTCGTTCAGAAATAATTAGGAACAAATCTTCCAGGAAAACCATCACCACCGGCACTTGCCTGCCAACGAAGATATTTATAATCAAGATGTCCAACATAAAGAGCTTTAGTGGTGAATGCATAAGGTTGTACTTCAACGTCAGCACGTGTCAGTAAATTCATCAACGATGATTTACCAACATTTGGGAAACCACACAGTATTAACGTCCTGAAATTCGACTCAAGATCTACAATGTAAGCTTTTTATATTTCACTGTTGATAATATTCCTTTTGATTATCATAAATTATTGACGAAAAAAAAAATGCCATTAAATAATCAATTTCTCCATACCTTGTGTTTGGATCAATTGTTGGCAAACGAGAAAGATGTTGCCGCACCTGTTCCAAATAATCAAAACTTGATTTCTGTCGCTTTAATAGCTTTACCATTCGTCCAAGTGCTGCACGCTTTAACATTTTACACCGATATAACGAATCGCCATATTTCATTAGGCGAACATATTCTCGTGCAATACTAAAACGTTTTTCATCGAAAATTCATATTTCAATCAACGTAAATGATTTCAATGGCACTTCAAAACCTACCCATCGATCAAATGACGAGCCGTATTCATTTGTCCCAAAGCAATTTTGTAGTGGTCCTTATCGTATAAAATGTTCATGAGATCGGCATAAAACGGATGAACCTCCTAAAAGGCTATTCAGAAAGTTCAATAGTGCATTATGAAAATCCAGAAATCGATATCTCTGCATTTTGCTTCAATTCACAACAATTCAACAAAATAATCAGCTGCATTTGGCACAGAGATTTATAGCTATGATTACGGGAAAGCATAAAACCAGACAACCGACAAGAAAGAAAGAACTGAGAAATTACCTCCATTTTTGGAAATTCATCAATGATTTGTGTCAATTTATCATGTAAAACCTGTTGCAAAAATTTAATTTTCCGTGTATAAAACGATCGGATCCGGCTGATTGCAAAGTGACGCCGAACCACAGTTGGTGTTTTTCTCTGTGTTTTGGAAAGGACTATCTCCTTTAAATCCTGAAAAACAAATCCGTGTCTCACAGTTTTTTATTCCATTGCGGACTTGAGTGTAAACAAAAACTATACGAAACTGTTTCCTTTTCGATAGCATATTTAAAATGTGCTAATATCCTAGCACTTAAATAATTAATTGAATAACAATAATTACTCACCGCAGCGGACGGAACGACTGTTATCTTTTTGAAATTGTAAATAGCCGGCATTTGCTCCTAAATGAAATAAATTCAGTAGGAAAAAAAAACATGAAACTACAGATGTCGCAATTAATGTTACCTATCATAAGTCTGTTGTAACTGCCATTAAACGGTCTATTTTATTCGCACGTTAGCACATATAAATGAGAGTGGAAACCAAGAAAAACAAATTACATGAAAGGAAAGAGGAGGAAGATGGGAAGGTCGCTTTAACAGCAACCTCCTTCCGTCCTTCTGACCGTCCCATATTATGAGTAACAGCTGAAAGCATGGCGAAGGATTGGTAGCACCTAAACTTATCACTGAGTAAGCAATCCTCGTCCATAAATACTTCTAATACACCGTTAAATTACGTCTTCCCTCGAAAATATCATTGAGATAAAAACTCCACTATACCACACTGTCAGATTAACTTCTTCAAGGGCTTCCTGGTCGGAATACTTCCATCCCCGCCTTCTCCCTCTTATGTCCCCCCCCCTACCGAACATCCACTACCAAACATGGAACCAAACTCGTCAAAGTAATGCACTACCTTACCTGTGGCGATGGGAAAATGACGTCTCATCCACAAAACTTAGGTAGTAAATGGAGATTGGGATGGCACTAATGTAAAGTGATTATCGTTAAGTCGGATTGGAGGTTGGTACTGGATTCTTGGCTAATGATACGGAGGAAATTTGACAAGTAGATTTGGCTTCCCATATCTTTAGAATGGCGAAGAAAGTTTCTTCGAAAAGCGGATTTGTCGAAGTGGGCGTTGTTGATGCATTATAACATGCTCTTTGTAAGCTTGGAAGTATTCCTATAACAGTACCATTCCAAGAGGAAACAGATAAACGATCTCATCTTTTCGCATTCTTTATTTTCGTATACATAATGCATTGTATACGTATGAGTGTGTGTAATCTATTGTTACGTATATGTATTTATGTGTGTGTCTGTTTGTGTCCCTGTATGTGTATATATGTCTACCATCAGTGATGAATGCCGGCAAAATTTCCATACTGTCTATATAAAGGTCTATATAAAGGAAAAAAAAGGAATAAAATTACCTCTTGATCGATCAGGATCTCGAAGGCTGTGTCTTACTATTGACAGGACTCTGTTTTTGTTGCCTTTCAGAATGAAGTACTACAATAAAGAATCCAGTAATAGTAACATAGGTTTGGCTGTGCATCCTTATACTATTATAACAAACAAAGAGCTTAATGATTTCTTAAATTATGCAATTTTAAATTGCTGGTAACTAATTAGACAATGGCGATAGC